AATATGTGCTGTTTTGAAGATGGTAGTGAGCAACTCTAGCAGCCTTGAGAAAGATGGAAGTTACAGTTTGGAACCTGTTATTTCCTACAGAAGCAGCATATGAAAGAAGACATGGGGTAGTTAATCAGAAAATGCTCACGCATGTATCAGTCTAGATTTCTTGCTTGTGTAGTAAATAAATACAATTTTTTTCATGTTATCCAGAAGATAACCATGTCTCATAATATACCTGAAAGTGTCACAACAGAGTGCTTCATAACAGATGATTATGTTTCCTCACTTAGGCTAACTAGAAATCCATCCAGGGAAACAAGCAGAGTTCAGAGTAAGAGGAGAAACATGCACCTCTTCCCACCCACATTGCCTGTTCAATGTGCTGGCATGTTATGTGTATAGGTAATCTCTCTTGTGTGCATTTCAATGTTCAAAGACATCAGCAGGTTTACAATAAATTGCCTGAATTTATTATAGCTTTTATTTTTCATCCATATGTCCTAGAATGAAATTGTATTCACCAATGTCCTGATTCCCCACTGTGGCTGAGCTACAAACCCTTTGTGATGTAAGTCATTGTTGGTTCTGCCAGTGTCTTTATTAGCACTTAAGAGCTAATTGCAGGACTTACATGGGCAAGAATAGGACAGTCACATTTTCAGGAAAAGTATTTTAACAAATATGTCAAATGAATCAAGAGCAGTTATAGGAGATAAGTAACTGCATGGCTTAAGAGTGGTTGGTCTGAACATAAATAGAAAGATTCACAGTCCTTGAGAAAACCAAATAAGAAAAGACTTATCCATATCATCTCCACCCAAGATGGGCAAAATATGTATTCAGTCAGCAAACAGAGGACACATTTTAAAGAGGTCTGTGAATGAAATACTGAGCTTTGTGCTTTCCCTTGAGTTAGGAAAAGACATATCTTTTATTAAGAGCCTTGAAGAAAAATGAAACCCTACCGATTCATGGTCAGTAGACATGAGGTTTGCATTCATTTTGCATGAGCAAAGCCCAAGGGAGTGCTGCTGTATATGTTAGTCATCAAATTTAAGTTTAAACTTGTGAGACAAACCTGCCTTTAGCAGGAAGTCATCAGCTCCAGTACAGTCTGGAAGGGAAGTGAGGGGATAGTCTCTACATTTTCTCACCAGTCAGGACTGGAGGCTGGGGACAGGGAGGGCTTGCTGCAATGCCCTTGTCCAGTGAGAGTTGGCTCTGCCTAAATCACATACACTCTAATGGAGCATATGACAAATTCCATGCACCTGTCTCAGCACAGAGAGTACATCTATGTTCAGAGACTGCAAAGATATTTTAACCAAGCTAAGGTGGCATATTGCCTTGCCAGCCACTTTGCTTTATCCAGAGAATAACTTGGTTTGAGTTGGATACTTTTTGACCTTTCCTCACTCAATGAATCTGTGCACATCTATTTTTGTCTTTCAAATGTTTAATGGCATCAGCCTTCCCTGTCTTTGATTCTTTTCTAGCCTTATGCAAGGAATGTCTATAGCAGGTATAGTTCCTAAATGAGACACCTGCCAGTTTGTCTAGTGCTTCTCTTTATTTTCACCTCTCACATTAAGGTACTATAATTCAAACATCGCAGCTGAGACTTGACTGAAGTTGTAAAACGTCAGCAAGCATCCAGAAACTTCCCCCAAACACATGCATTTTCTGTGGTTCAGGTCCACCACTAATTACAATGTAGTTCTTGTTCTAAATTTGCTTTACACGTGGTAGGACACCAGCCAGTTCTGGTAGGCATCCCCAGATGACTAGACGTTGGTGAGTTCAAGTACCACTAGCTGGGCTGCTCTTAGTATCTTGGACCTCTGCATGCACATATATATATCTACCCTATGCCATCAGTAACTAGTTTACTCTTACTGGCTGAAGATAGTAAATTTAAAATTATCTCATGTATAACTGGATAAACTGCTGTAATCTTGTAATTTCAATGTGGGCATACTTTTGACTCCAGTCTGTAGAGGAACACTGACTTTGAATGAAACAATGTGGTCACCATACTGGGCCTTAGCTTTTTCCAGGTTGAAATTGCAAAGAATCTCTTGCTCCTTTAAACAAAAGTCATACAGTTCTGGTATAAGGCATTTGGAAGTATTTAGAAAGGAGTTGTATACAGCTCTCATATATCTGATTTTCTTTTAGAAAATTGGGTTGAAGGAGGAAATCAGAAACTTAATCTGAAAAGACATTCTAGGCTTCACAAGTTCTGGGTTCCCCATCAGTGATATTGATTAAAGACTGCATGGATTACTTACCAGTGTAGACTCCTAGCAGAGTGTAGATTAAGGAGTTGGAGGGTCTTGTTGAGCCCGTGCTATTAGTAGCATTAGTCAGGCAGTTGTATGCTCCACAGCATGCCAGTTCTTCTTCTGTGATTTCCACTAATTCAGTAAGAGCCAAAAGAAAGAAAGGTCAGGGAAAAGATCAGATAAGTGAATCAGATGTGAAGGTCTGTCACTGTCAGCTACATTTTTATGCTTTACAACAGAGGGATGGAATTCAAGCAGAATTCAATAGACATCTATTTTTGATCTATTCGTCTGAACTCTCTTTATGGCTGATGAGGATTTGATAGAAAATAGACACTTCCAGAGAGCAATTTAACCCTTTTATGTCAGACATTTATCTTCAGATGAGCTAACTCATATCTGAAGTGCCTATTTACACTATGAAAGCTCAGCTACAGAAATCTACCTTTTATCTATCTAGAACTAGCTGATGTCTATAGTAAGAAGTGCCAAAATTTTCAAATATATTTTACCTTTGTTGGAAGATTGGCTAAATATCAAGGATGAGATAAGATTTCCCCAGATGCCGGAGGATTGAAATACCAGAAAAAAGACACCAAAATATTGGTTGATAATGTCTTTTGCACTTTTTCCTGCTTTCTCAGCATATGAAGTGCCAGCAATGGTGAGGTAAGTGCATTTAGCTGACCAGAGTGGTGCTCCTCCTAAGCCCAGGATCACAGAGGTAGGGATTAGTGTGTACCTGCCAAAGAACACTTTATTTAGCATAGCTGTTATCCATTGGCATAATGATCATTTGCACAAAAATCCAGAGGAAAAATAGACACCATTCCTTTGAACGATTCAATAAATCTGTAGGAAGAAAATTAGAGAGACAAAGGCAACTCCTGTTTTGTTTAATTATTCCTGAAGGAGAATCTCTGTTACAAACATAAGTTAGAGAGGCAACTTCAGCTGCATGAATTGATGCATTCAGTCTGGCTTTTTGCATGCTTTCAACTCTCTGCTTAATCTGCTTCTAGATTTATTTAAACCTATTTCTTGTAGGTAGCACCATTTACATCCAACTTACTCATCTGCAGCACAGAGGTAGAGTAGGAATTTGCCCTAATTGATTTTATTCAAACACAATAGAGAGAGTTAAAGTATTCAAATAGTACCAGCTTGCATAGAAGTTCCCTAAGGAGAATGCTATGTAGCAGCACATAGAACCTGCCATGGTCCACTTGCAGCCCAGCTTCTTGATGAGGATTGGAGGGAGGAACATGGATGATAAGATGAGTGCAGCATAAAGAACACTTAGGGAAGC